TTGGTTGCAGCCGTCATTGTTGTTTTGGCAGGTCCGGGCTGGGGATTCGACCCCGCCACCTTAGGTGTACGTGGCTGGCGCCTTAGCCGGTTGAGCTATAGGCGCCAAGCCAGTAAGACTATCTCTTAAAAAAAAAGAAAAAAGAAATGAAGTCTCGCTATGTTGCCCAGATGGCCACAGTAATCCCCTCTCAGCTTGGTTTCCCAAAATGCTAGAATTATAGGTGTGAGCTACCACATACAGCCAATTCTCAAATATTCTTAAGTACTTTATAACTTACCTTAAATTCGATGATTAGGCGACCCTTTTCATATGGTCTACGATAAATTGGCATGCCTTCATTTAGCACACACTTGATATCTCCATGCTTGACAATCTGACCTAGAAACAAAAAAGCCAAGCTATTCCTATTACATTCAAATTTTTACAAGGCAGAGAAATTATAGAACAAAGGAGTATCCTAGCTCACTGATAGGAGTAAATTTGTGTGGTGAAACAAGTCCACCACCTTCTCTCATATATGGGTTTTCCAGGGGCTGCCAAAAAAGAGCCAAGACCTATGACTTCACCTCAGCCTGAAGGGCATATAATCAAGAAAGAAAAACATCTTGTTTTTCTTTCAGTGCCTGTACTATGTAATTATCAGGAGATAAGGAAAACACTAAAGACAAACTCATCTAGTTACCATACCTGGATGAGAGGTGATGACTATGGTTCGACTGTCAAGAGTAGATATTGGCTTTTGGAAACCACACAATGCTTCAACCAGCTGTATGTCCATACACATGCAAAGGTCTTCTCCTCGTCTGTATCAATGCAAATATGACAAATATTTATGTTTCTAACACCAGCGATTACATGTACTAAAGTAATTGTGCTTTCACAAAGACACCCATTCTTCCCATATTCTAAAAATAAAACAGCTGAGAACTGGGAAGTTTTTTTTTCTTTTTTCTTTTTTGAGACAGAGCCTCAAGCTGTCCCCCTGGGTAGAGTGCCGTGACATCACAGCTCACAGCAACTTCCAACTCCTGGGCTCAAGTGAGTCTCCTGTCTCCGTCTCCCAAGTAGCTGGGACCACAGGCGCCAGCCACAATGCCTGGTTATTTTTTGGTTGCAGCTATCATTGTTGTTTGGTGGGCCCGGGCTAGATTTGAACCTGCCACCTTATGTGTATGTGGCTGGCGCCGAGCGGAACTTTTTTTTTCTTAGATAGTCTTTGTCTCTGTAGAATGCCATGGCGTCACAGCTCACAGCAACCTCAAATTTTTGGGCTTAAGTGATTTTTTTACCTTAGCCTCCGGAGTAGCTGGGACTACAGGCACCTGCCACAATGCCCAGCTAGTTTTAGAGATGAGGTGGTCATCATTCCTGAATTACTTCCTTACCTAATTTTATTTAGTTATTTTTCAGACAGTTTCACCATGTTGCCCTTGGTAGATAGCCATGGCATCATAGCTCACAGCAACCTCAAACAATCCTCTTGCCTCAGCCTCTAGAGTAGGTAGGACTACAGGTACCTGCTACAACATGCCTATTCTTTTTTTTTTTTTTTGAGACAGAGCCTCAAGCTGTCCCCCTGGGTAGAGTGCTGTGGCATCACAGCTCACAGCAACCTCCAACTCCTAGGTTGAGCTTAAGCAAGTCTACTGCCTCAGCCTCCCACGTAGCTGGGACCACAGGCACCCTCCACAATGCCTGGCTATTTTTTGGTTGCAGCTGTCATTGTTGTTTTGGTGGGCCCAGGCTGGATTCAAACCCGCCACCTCAGGTGTATGTGGCTGGTGCCAAGCCACAACATGCCTATTTTTAGAGAAGAGATCTTGCTCAGGCTGGTCTTGAACTCCTGAGTTTAAGTAATCCACCCTTCTCAGTGGCCTTCCAGAGTGCTAGGATTATAGGCATGAGCCAGTGTGCCCAGCCTCCTTATCTAATTTTAAATTTTATTTATCACAAGGGGGAAAAATAAATTCTCTTTAAAGTGATGTTCAAAGAAAACAAACATGTATTAGGGCTAAAGGACATTATAGTGTAAGCGAAACAAACCTGAGTTGTTTATGCAGATTTGCCTGCATAATCTAGGACCCAAAGACAAAATCAAGTAATGAGCATATAACCAATTTCAAGGGACAGTTAACATTTTCTTTTCCCAACAAAAAGCACAAACTTAATGATGTACATAAATACTATAGTGCCCAGCACACTGTCAGGGAACATAATCTTCAGTTCACTTCTTCCTTCTAATGTTTGACCTTCCTCTTTTTCAGTCCCCCCACCTTTTTTTTTTCTTAGAGATAAGAGTCTCATTTTGTTGCCCTCAGTAGAGTGTTGTGGCATCCAGCTCACAGAAACCTCCAGCTCTTGGGCTTAGGTGATTCTCTTGCCTCAACCTCCCAAGTAGCTGGGAGTACAGGCACCTCTCACAACACCCGGCTATGTTTTTGTTGCAGTTTGGCCAGGGCCGGGTTCGAACCCCCCACCCTCAGTATATGGGCTGGCGCCCTACTCACTGAGTCAGAGGCACCGCCCTTCAAATCCATATTAATAAAACATCTTTAATCAGGATTATTCCTCTTTCAAATGACAGCATCAAAATCCTGAGCTTGATAGCATTTCCACTTATTTTAATATACTTAAGAAATGGCTCGGCACCTGTGGCTCAAGTGGCTAAGGTGCCAGCCACATACACCCAAGGTAGCGGGTTCGAATCCAGCCCGGGCCCGTCAAAACAACAATGGCTGCAGCCAAAAAATAGCCAGGTGTTGTGGCGGACGCCTGTGGTCCCAACTACTTGGGAGGCTGAGGCAGGAGACTCACTTGAGCCCAGGAGTTGGAGGTTGCTGTGAGCTTTGATGCCACAGCACTCTACTCAGGGGGATAGCTTGAGGCTCTGTCTCAAAAAAAAGAAAAAAGAAAAAAATATATATATACTTAAATATACATTCTAAATTGGTTCCTTCAACCCTACTTCCCATATGTTTTGCTATAAGCCAGATAGTATTTAAAAGAAATACTCAGTGTGAACCATCATTCTTTCTTATGTGTCAGTGTATAGGTTCATCTCTGAATTAAATTACTTCATAGCAGTAAACTTGAATTTCTATCAGAAAGATTAAGTCCTAATTGTAGTTTCTTTCTTTTTGAGACAGAGCCTTAAGCTGTCCCCCTGGGTAGAGTGCTGTAGCATCACAGCTCAAAGCAACTGCCAACTCCTGGGCTCAAATGATTCTCTTGCCTCTGCCACTCAAGTAGCTGGGACTACAAGCGCCCGCCACATCACCTGGCTAGTTTTTGGTTGCAGCCATCATTGTTGTTTGGCGGGCCCAGGCTGGATTTGAACCCACCAGCTCAAGTGTATGTGGCTGGCACCTTAGCCACTTGAGCTATAGGCACCGAGCCCCAACTGTAGCTTCTTAAAGAGATGGTTTGGACATTTACCACTAAAAGCAATTTACCTAGGCTGAGTGAGGTGGCTCACACCTACAATGCTAGCCCTCTGGGAGGCTGAAGTGGTTGGACTCCTTGACCTCAGGAGTTTGAGACTAGCCTCCTATAGTAGATACGGCGCCAGCCAGATGTACTGAGGGTGGTAGGTTTGAGCCTGGCCCGGGCTGGCTAAACAGCTAAACTGCAACAACAACAACAAAAAATAGCCAGGGGTTGGGGTAGGCACCTGTAGTCCCAGCTACTTGGGAGGCTAAGGCAAGAGAATTGCTTAATAAGCCCAGGAGTTTGAGGTTGCCGTGAGCTGCAACGCCACAGCACCCTACCCAGGGGAACATAATGAGACTCTATCTCAAAAAAGAGTGAGTTTCTACTAAAAATAGAAAAGACTAGCTGGATGTTGTGGTGGGCACCTGTAGTCCCACTTACTTAGGAGGCTAAGGCAAGAAGATCATTTGAGCCTAGAAGTTTGAGGTTGCTATGAGCTGTGGTTATGCCACAGGATTCTACCCAGGCCTGCAGATTGAGTCTTTCTTAAAAAAAACAAACAAAAAACCCCCAAAAAACTGGTGAAAGCTTTATGACACTTTACCTGTTTATACAAAGATTGTAAGTAAAAAAAATCTGTTCAGGGATGTTTCTGTCAGCCACTTCCTACCTGTTCATATTTACGTATAACATCTCTTAAATCAAATATACTTCCCAAGTTCTAGATTAGGTAACAATCTGAGTAGAAAAAACTAAAATCTGATCCGACTTATTTTCAGCCTCTTTTACAATCAAAACAATGGTTAATACAACCTTTTACAAAGTATGTTATACATAATTTAACTTTCTTGCTATGCCTTCCTAAGGTATTTCCAGGAATTATGTTCTCAGAGTGATGGAAAACTCATTAAAAACAAAACAAAACCCCCCACCAAATCAATAATTCAGGTATACAAGTCAGTATGAGTGGTTGATTAAAGTCTTTACCGAGTAAAAACAGCATGGTCCTTCTGATCTAACACAATGATAATATCTCCTGGCTCCAATCCTGGTTCTTGGTCTCCTTCACCATGGAATGTTATCTTCTGGCCATCTTTCATGCCTAAAAACAAGAGATTCATTTTGTGCTCTCATTTAATATTCCACTAAGGTCAGAATCATAAATCGTACATACAGATCTGTTTGCACATTCATAAAAAATGATGTCACAGTCTCTATGGATGCCAAAATCACAGAAATAACTAAAAAAAGCCCACTACAGAAATAAGTTTAATAATGTTCCTAAGTCTCAACTTTCCTACAGAGACCTCATTAGGACTTTTAACAGGATTGATTAAGTCTATGCTGGCAACAATAAGTGATCAGGAAACACCATAACCAATAAATGTTAACTATTTTCTTTT